TGTAAAAAGTCTAGTGTAATAAAATATCTAAAAGTTAGGCTAAATATACGGTCGCGCGCTAATTACTTTATATGCATAGAACAACCAATAATTGCGAATCGCCTATATCTTTATAATGTTTACATATAACAAAACAATATTTATCTTGAAATCTGCTTTTTTATATTCTCGGAGAACTTCATGAAGTGTTCGGTTTTATTTGTATTCACGGGTAAAGACTTCTATATGAAACTTTACAATTACATTAGGATGAGGCCTAATACATTTTTAAACACGACATTCTTAATCTAACCTATTAGGGATTTTCAAAAACAGTATTGTTTAAAAATTTATTAGACTTAAAACTATCGTCTTATGACAAATTGTAAATCATCATATATATTTGTAATTATTCAAACTGTAACTGTTCTACGGTTTAAAAATATATGTACAAAATTGGAGAAAACACTTTATGGCGTATCTAAGCAGATAGCTGAGTAAGCAGGCAGTTTTGAAAGAAACTATTCTACGACTTTAGCCTTTCTTCTATACACAAATTTAGTGTCGTAAAAATACCTAAACGTTAGGCTAAATGTACTTTTGCTCGCTAATTCTTGGTATGCATAGGCCAGCGAATAATTACGAGTCGTCTATATCTATATAATGTTTACATATAATAAAACACTAGAAATCGTGAACTCTTCTGTATTATTTTCTCAGAAACTTCAGGAACTGTAGTACTTTATTTCTATTTGCGGGTAAAAACTTCTATCCATATCTTTACAATTGCATTTATCGTGAGACATTAGTATCCCGCCCGATACATTTTGAGTATCTTGATTTAATCTCTTAGGGATTTTCAAGAAATCTGTTGTTTAAAAATTTATTAGGCCTAAAAGTAATGTCTTATGACAAATGCAAATTAACATATATATTATTTATTGGATTGAGAAGTCATCTGACCATTGATGTTATCGTATAGTGATAAATGGCATAGTGGGAGAAGGGGGGCAATAGCCCGACCTTCATTTTAGGACTTCTAAAAATTGTTGTTATTTTCAGGTTTTATAAAAAAGAGAGAGAACAAAGGAAGAACCACCTCCTTCAAAATTAATAAATTCACGTAATAGATGCTTAGCACACGTACAGTACGTCTGTATTTGTTGATATAACTTTAATTATATAATTGGCATTACGTCCTTATACTTGGCACGACTTCAAACTGTTTATTGTCAGTTGTGCGGGTTGACACCGTGGAAAAGCTCTATATTTCTGAGTTCAAAGGAAGTATACAAGGATCATGTGAACTGTTTTGATTTATTGTGACCATTTTGACAATGGCTTCAAAAACGGCGTGATGAAAGATATGATGCAGGTATTCTGAAGCAAGTTTGTTGTGTACGTTAACAAACGGTTGAGGCAAGTTTTTTCTGCAACAACAGCGGCAGCTGCCAATAAACTAAAGAATCAGAAGCTAGAATCGCAAGAGCTAAATGGAAAGCAGAAAAAATTCTCAATTCCAACACTTCGTGCTTGAGCTTTAAAGACACTTCTCTTATAAAACATCAGAAGGGTGACTAATTACCACCTGTATCCTTAGCTGTATATCAAACATTATGAATATTCATATCAACATGTGAGTTTTGCTCAATATCCTCAAAGAATTTTGAAAAAGTCCGGTGACTGAGTGAGATAGGGTTGGTCAGCTCAAATCAAAAACATAAAACAACGAAGGGAAGGCTATGTTAAAAAGAAAAATCAATTGATGACAACACCGAGACCACAGCTGTTGTCTCTTCTGAAAAAGAAGTAATGACAGTACAGGCAGTTTTAGTAGTTCCACAAATACAAAAGTTTCAGAGTTTTAGGATCAAATTCCAGAAATACTGCTGGATGGTCAACAGAGTGCTAAAGATATAGCTGACGACGTTACGGCATTTGATCCAAATAGAAAACTTACATCGGACTCATGCTATTGTGGCAGGAAGAAATTGATAGATATGCCCAGAAGATTTTTTCCCTATGCTCCTTGCCAAACAAAGGAAGATGACCTGGATCAGGGATTTCAGAAGCACACATTCGAGACCGTATATCGCTCGTTTCATTGATCATGATACTTCACGTTGAGTAAGACTGGAGCTTCTTTAAGGAAAGAATGGTTGTCCTACTTACGAAGGGCCGAAAGTGGCCTAGTGATTAGCATGCAAGACTGTGGAATCATGATACTTCACGTTGGGTAAAACGGGAGCTTCTTTAAGGAAAGAATGGTTGGTCTACTTACTAAGGGCCGAAAGTGGCCTAGTGATTAGCATGCAAGACTGTGGAATCATGATACTTCACGTTGGGTAAAACGGGAGCTTCTTTAAGGAAAGAATGGTTGGTCTACTTACTAAGGGCCGAAAGTGGCCTAGCCTGGAAGATTGTAGAACTGAGTTTCCATGGTTTGTGCTTATTCATAAATGAGAAAGAGAGAGAGAAAAAACGCGCTCCACACTTTGGGGCCGTGGGTGCTTTATAACAGTAATGATCAAATCCCACTTTTCGGTGTGATAAGAGTATCCTAATACTTAGTAATGGGTGGTGTTGACTAGGTTCGTTCACTCTTCACTTCAAAATTAGGAATAGCTAGCTCTGAGTAGTTTCCACAATATCGAACAAACAAATATAATTCACCAAATGCTCGTTCTTTCACATATATATTCTGTTCGGAAATGCGAATACAAGGAATAAGCACACACCTTACAAGAAAAGAATTTTCATGCTGAAAGGATGGAAAGCAACTGCCCAAGAAGAGCTCGTGCAGTATAAAGCTTACTTTGATGTTGTCATTGCTGTGGCTAGTTATGTCTGTAAACATTTTGCTGTTCGCACAATCTTGACAAGAAGAAACTTGTCCCATGAATGAAGTTATCGAAAATTGAGATCTGCTGGCATGTTTGATTGATGATGTTGGAGATGCTACCTGAATCACACAATTTTCTTGAGCTCATGGCATTGCTTGCCAACTACTTGCTACAGGGTGCTTGATGTGTACTTGGAGGAAGTTGTGAAGGAAAATAAGGCAAACTGTCCAAAGAATACACGTGATGGTCGTGGTTCAGCCCTTACTTTCTTGAGTACTGAATCCCAAAACAGGCTTATTTTAAACATTGTTGGTGAAATACTCCAAACTATAACCACCAAAGTTCAAGAAGTGGGATATTTTAGTTTTGACACGAATTCCACTACCGATTGTAATTTATCTCAAAGCTGATCTCAAATTTGGCCATGCTCTGAATATAGTCATAATGCATATATGTAATGCCTCTTTGGCAGCCAAGTGATTGCTTGGCCGTTTGGAAAAGGTGTACAACTTCTTGATTGCATCCCGCAAGAGAAGTGATGCTTTTATTGGGGTGCAGACTCATCACAGAATATCCCCAAATGACCGGCCACAACGAATGTCAACTACTTATTGATGGTCCTAGCAAAAAGAAAAAAAAGAAAAAAAATATAAGTAATGTGTTCTTTGCGTGTGATGAACAAAGTTTGATTACTTTTGGGAAATGTCAGTCTGTTGGACACAGCTCAAAACTATATCTGATACAACCTTGCTAAACCTATATCTGCTAAAACCTTGCTCCATTTGAAAATCTTTGACATCAGAGATCCTGCATCTATCTCTAGTCTGACAGCATCGATCTTCTTCAAGGAGCGAACCTTGTTGAGGAACAAGACCAAAGCACAAAGAGCTGTATGAATCCAGCGTATCCTTCTGTGAACCACACTAGGATGTGCAATTTCCTGAAGTTCGAGTCCGGAGGAGGAAAAGAATGGCTGATGAAATGGCTCAATATGACGTTATGATCAGTGTAAAAGTAAAGTTCAGAGTCGACACCTTCATGCGTAGGCCAGATACGTTTGCAAACTACATGAACGAGCGTTTTTCATCTCAACGACAAATTTTTCTGACTTTGCTTTGCTGAATTCATTGCGTTTCTCTTAACATGTCAAGGGTTTATGTTACTATTTTGGTAATGGTATTAGCATATGGGAGGGGGCAACTGATTATCCTTGCCCCCGTAATCTCGCTTATGCATTTTAGTATGCAGCTGTTGTTCTGTAAAACAATGAGACTTTTTAGTTTTTCTTTTGAATACTAAGGAAATCTTACACGAATCTGGTATGTTTAATTTTTGAGAATAAAATATTATTCAAAGTGAGCAGTTCAGCTTGCTTAAGAAGTCCTACTCATAATGTTACAAACCACTTCTGCCCCCCACTCCCATCCCCACCTGTCTATTCACGTGAAAAAATAAAAATTGTGTTGTTTGCAGTTATGCACAAAGCTACACAATGGGCTATCTGTGCTCTGCCCACCACGGGTATCGAAACCCGGTTTCTAGCGTTGTAAGTCCGCAGATAAAAATTGTGTACCATTGCTATTTTAGTTAGGAATTAAAATAAATCAATGTAGATAGATGTTCCCAGTCTACACATAACTATACACCTTCCACGTTTATAAAGCTTTTTTTCTTCAGTCTTACTACCACGTTCACCATTCACATTTAATCACGATTATTGTAATAAAAAATTACTTAAAGTGAAATTACTGATGGATAAACGATTGATTTTTTTGCTCCTACCCATACTTTAAATGATATTTGTGGGCCATAAAAACTCTGTCTATTTTTTTATAAGATTATACTGCTTATTTATACTTTTTTTATACCTTGGTCATTTAAGTTCATTTGAGGCCGTATATCTCTATTAGCATACTAAAATAGCCGGGAATAATAAGTTAATGTAACATATAATTCATTTGTTTGAATAATTATTAACAAATATAAACTTTAATTTCTCAATTGTTTCATTTTAGAAGCAAGAACGTAACCCTTATGATGTGTTTTTCAAAGTTTATTTGTTAGGTGATAAAACAATTAAAGCTCTTACATACATATGTTAGTAAACTATTTAATGTGACGTCATAAAGTTAGTAGAATCAATGGTATAGTTACAAAAAAAAAAGAGAAAAGTAAAGGTACAAAGTTTATACAACTGTTTAATGTATAAGCTCAGGCACCAATTACATAGCAATATATAACATATCTCAAGGATTATTCTACAATATATGTATATACCTCAATTTAGTTTTCAAAATAAACTGCTATGAAACATATTAAATTAACACACACAACACAAACATGATTCCATATATATATGTGTGTGTGTGTGTGTGTGTGATATATGTACATAAATTATATCACGGAACAAATGTCTGTTGTGGAATCATCGTTTTAGATTATTAGATTGTACTTACATAGAAGATGGACACTGAATTATATTCCTGGTTGTAATAGACAGTGACATTGTGACCCCTGACGTAAGAGCTCTAAAGCACTTTGGGCATGATGCAAAAGATGTTCGGTTTTAAATACATAATTCTGCTTCGTTTTGCACGATGTAATCCGGAAACAAAACCATTTATGTTACATCTCATAGACTGTATGAGTGAAGTACAGTTTCGTAAGCACTGACACAAAGGATAATTGTAAAAAAGAATATGTACAATACAAAACTTTAAATGAAATTTTAGGAATAGATCTGCTATCGTAACAAGTGCATACAGAATCTTCAGATACGTGCCAACTATATTTAGAGTATGCCCAAACTCTATTTTGATTTGAAAATCAGAAGATAAATTAAATCACTTAAACGTTGAATTATAGTTATAAAAGAAACCATGACAAGTATTCAAATATTCATGACGTTTCTCGTGAATAAATGGAATATGCATTTAGCCTATCACACATTATTAGGATACCAAAGTAAATTAGCTAAACATTAGATTTTAATGAAAGTATAAAATCTATTCCATGGTGTAGTAATTTAATTGTTTTGAATTTTTGTATCGTTTTCTTTAATCCCTGTACAAATAGTCCAGGTGAGGCACGAGAACTCTGAAGAAATAAAATAATGTTTTTAGTTCTTGCTCTTTACGAAATGACTGTGTACACCAGCTCGGATGGTTATTTCTGGGTCGATTTCAGCTCGTCCAATCTCTGTGAAGGTTTTGGCATCAAGTACAATCATCATATTCGGCCGGTTAGGCCTAACATCAATTGCAACGCACAGCAAGACACCTACAGGAAAACAACAACAATAGATAAGTAGTTCGCAAGTGATTGTTCACCAATTAGGCTTAGAATATATATGTATATAAAGTTATTTGAAAAAAAAAAACAAACAACAAAAAACATACCGAAGCTAGCAACATTAACACCATACTATTTAGTGCTTGTAAAATTAAAAAAATGTAACTTTTTTATATATTGTGAATGTCAAGTATTTAAACACTCGCTCGCTTCGTATTTACGAGGGTGGAGGGGGGGGTAATTTATTGTAATTTTTATTTATATATACTTCATCTTATTTGTTATTATTACCAGTAATATTTCCTTATAAACGACCAACGATATTTGTTATAATGACATACAGTGTGCGTGCATCTTACCGTCGTCCTCTTCCTTAGCATCAGGACTGGCTACAAACGTCAATTCTCCTGCGTATACGTTGTCACTTTCCCGCCATAGCTTCAGCTCATTGGTCTCAAAGTCAAATTTACAAACCTGAAGTTATAAGAAAAAACACACATTCAGTTATCACACATCTTACTTCTTTCTATTCTGTTTCTTATGATGAATTAAAAATCTAACCAATATTTAAATATATTGTCCGTAGCGCTCTTTAATATATATGCTAATATAAACTCGGATTAGGATTAGTGTATATGATTTGATCTCTCCTTTAGTCCATGATGGTGAACTTATATGGAGCATTAATGCTACTATTATATTATTTCAAATTATTCAGTAAATCTTTCAGATAATATAAATTTTCTTTTGTCACCAAATTAATGAATTTCGGCGATGAAGAAATCAGTTTATCATTCAATTCGCGACTTTTCACCGAGCTAGACCGATTTCGCAGAATACCACCCCTTATCAGAAATCCCAGGCAAGACTCGAACAAATGGAAAAACAAGACTGGGCTTACTGTAACAGTTGTCAGTATATATTTGGTGTTTGAGTTGTCCTTTACACATAACAGTGTACATACAGATACACACATATTTGAAGAACACGTGAAGAGTAAAGGATTCAAACACCATACACATAACTTACTGACCATCACTATAAGAAATCCATCTCTAGGCTTGTTTGGATTTGTCTTTGTCCAGGGTCTTAATGATGGAAGAAGTTCCTCAAAACCGGTGTTCAGGGGCGTTACAACCCCAAAAAGTGGAGTGCTTGTGCAATAGCCTTCGTTGCAGCAATCTTTCATAACTTAGCTGGAGTTCTTGGGAATACCTCTCTTTATACATTAAAAAACGAAAGAAAGAAAGAAAAATGGGAGTATAAATAGTTCCGAAATAAATGAAACTGAACTTTTTACATTACAAGGAGAGGAATGAATGACATTCACTTGAGACTATTCAATAGTATTTTGTTTGTTTTGATTACAAAGAAGGATTGTTTGTTTGCTTTTTGAATATTTCCACAAAGGTACTCAAGGGTTATCTGTACTAGAAATCCCCAAATTTCAACCGATAGCCTAGAGGGGAGGAGGCTAGTCAACAGCGCCCACCCTCCAACTCTTTGCCTACTCTTGTCTGAACGAATAAAGGGATATGTTCGTTGTACTCATGTGCATTCGCAGAACGTTTTCTAGGGGGAGGGGGCAAAGTAGTGTGAAATTGTGAATTGAATAAATATTTCATATGCATATACTGAATGAATAAAGAAATAATTATGTTTTTCATTTTCCAGGTGAGGGCAAATGCCACCTCTTGCCCCCCACCCACAAAGCACAGAGCACATTTTCGTTTTGTTTCTGGTAATGGGATGCAAACACGTCCTTAGTCCAGCATGCTAGCCACTTCACCACGCTTGACCTTACAAAGTAAGAATGACCAAAAACAAAAAGTTCCAAAATTCACAAATACAACTTGTTAAAACTGAGATTGTTATAACATTGCTATACCATACAACCATCACTTGAATCATTATTTTCAACCTCATATTTAATGTACAGACAGCGACTATTATCGGACACAGAATGTAAAAAAATATTCAAGGTTTAAAACAAGTAAAACCTATTTTGGGTATATTTAATGTCGGCATTTTGATTAGTTTTCAAGTGGCCGCTTATTTCTGTTATTATATTTTGCTGGCTGAAGAAAAGCATAATAAAGTTGGGTGTCACGTTTCTTTGTTGTTGAAATTCATGATACTGGCGATGAGAGAAAAATTTCAGAGTCTTAAATGATTTAGGTTTTGTTATTTCTTCTAATTCTAAATGCCATAAAAATACAAGAACTGGTAACTGTTTCCATTAGTCATACTACGTTGAGTTTTCTATACGTTCGAATATTAGTTATCAATACAGACTTCTCTAGGTCATATGTCGTGGTCACTTATTTTTAGTATACGTAATAATATCTCAATTCCTGGTCTACGTTTTTTGTGGATAAAAGCTAAGTCCAAAATACAACACAGACATATTTTACCGCGTTTTTGAAGTAACCTTGTTCGAAAGCTCCTGACCCGTAAACGTAACGATATTTCCTCCCATTATGCATCTTATAGTTTATTGTGGGCATTTCAAAACCTAGAGAAAAAAAGAATGATATTAATGCACTTTGACCTTATTTCGATATTAAATACCATAATTGTTCACAAGTCTTAAAAGAATATTGAAATACTGTATGTTATAAAGGCTCAAACATAATAATATTTTAGGCATTTCTCTTTTTAAAAAAAATCCAAAGTATAATTCTCTTTACTGTTTAATACTGATTTTAAGTATTATATGTATTCTATATTTGTCCAGTTCAATTTATCATTCACTCTCAAATTGAGAAATTCACAAAACTAATGACTGAACAACGTCTTTATATAATGTTGACAATTATTCTACAATGAATACAGACATTATTTTACATAATACATGCTTTAACGTTCTCTTCGTTACAGTGGTAAGAAAATTTACCTCATTTGTATCTTTTAAAGTTACTTATAGTCTGATTAAGATATTTAAAAAAAATGCAGGTAAGTTATGGACAGAGTTGTAGCGCCTTCAAGTGGCGTTGCAAGCCACGTAATCTGTCTCATACCTGGTTTGGCCAGTTTTTCATCCGTCAACCAAATTACACCATTTTCTTGTTTCACGGCTCTTGCTTTGGTGTTGGGAAGGGTAACCAGATTTTCACCTTTTTTCAAATCCTATAAGAACAGTCCTCCAGACATTGATATATGTCGTACATAATGTAAAATCAAGCAGTAATGAAAAATGGCAAACTTACTACTTTCCAAGGGCGTCAGCAGAAAAAAAAGTTAGAGGGGGGGGGGGTCAAGTAACTCAATTTTGAAAAAAAAAAAGAGATTGAAATACAAATACCTTATGATTTTCCAATAACACAGAAGAGTGATTTTACGTATCTAGTTTGTTTTTTTAAATCCGGGGGGGGGGAGCAAGTGACTCCCTCTTGCCCCTTCCTGCGGGCGCCCATACTACTTGCGTATTTCAAACTACCACTGTCAAGAAAGTGCAGGAACAAAACATCAATAGGTTAAATTTGTTTTGTTAACTGATAAATTCGACAATGGGTCATCATATCTTTCAAACACAAAATTAAATTACTGGTTTGCCATTTGCTATGGTTTTAACTAATAATCCAAAGAGTTCAATGTAGTTTTTCGCCTTTTCAGCCAACTCTTGAGTATGTGCTTATGAATCAGATTGTTTATTGCTGTTTTCATTATTAATATAATATATTCAAAGTTAAATAAATCTTTCGTTTTATTGTTATCTTAATAGATTCTTTTGGGTTCTACTCCAGGAGTCTCGATATATTTAGGTTTATAACTTGTATCATCAGGAATAGTTAATGACATAAACCATTAAATTGAGGTAAGGGAAGTACCCATTTCCATAGTTGTGAAGGTAATAATTTATATTCTTACTTTTATATTTTCAATAGATGCGTCAAATACGTTTAGTGGCATTTTATTTTGCTTTACAGATTATATTTTATAAAGCAAAGTATTTGTTTTTGAGGACAAAAGTATTTTTGCATAAATTAATAACGTATATATTCGGTGTCAAACAAACCTTGCCTAAAGGAAGCACAAATCTACGAAGCTGTGGTGGACATATTTCTTCGAAAAGACCAGCTCGAAGTTTTTCTAACTTATACTTTTGCAGGAAACTTGGATCTTCGTAGCCTATTAAATCAACTACTATCTGGTTATTCTCCTCATAGGCATTAACGTGGTGGAAAACGAAAAAAGCTTCAGATTTGTAAACAGTTTTCAAAACTTTCCCAGTTGATTTCTCGATGACGTAAAATCTCGTCTATAATAAGTAAGTCCAGACAGTCTATAACTCCACTTACAAACATAACGTTCTATATTTCCACTTACATACATAAAGTTCTAAATTTCCACTTACAAACATAACGTTCTATATTTCCACTTACATACATAACGTTCTAAATTTCCACTTACACACAAATAAAAATCTTAAACAAAATATTTTAAACCTTTCAACTTACATACATAACGTTCTAAATTTCCACTTACACACAAGTAAAAATCTTAAACAAAATATTTTAAACCTGAAATTTCAAAAGAAAAAGTAAAAAAAAAACAATAAATTTATTCTGAGTGTTAAAACAACATGTACAAAAATTTCGTATTTTGGAAGAATCTGAATTAATGTAGTTCAGTTACAATCTAAAATGAATAAAAACTGAATTGTTTTACTTCATTAATCATAACGAGTAAATAAGATCAAGATAATTTACACCTTAAGTTCGTAACATGTTTAATTCTTCATTCGATATATTGTTTGTTTTAAAATTATATGCTCCTCTTAACCTTTTCTTTAGGTACCCAATCCATGCACTCGATTAAGGCTAGTCCTTTGACGACAGAAGTAGCAAGTTTCAAAGTGTTCAACAGTTGGGGTTGTTCAAGGAATACAACGAAATTCTCCGATATAACGAAACTATGATAATAACTGAAACACGTAGTCCAACTGGAAGAGATGGTGGTGATGATGGAAGCCTTCAGAAAAGCCCTTGGTCCTGGATACGTAAGTAAAGTAAAACAAAATGTATTTGTAATAAAAATGAGTGAGAAATAAAACAACTAAAGTACTATCACTCTTGCCATTATAACATAAACTCATTATCAGCTTTAAGCTTCCGCAAAAACAACAACAAACAAACCAAAATCTAGTTTCTGAATAATGGGTTAATGGTAAATACGTACCATTATTTTCTTCTTCTTTCAGAGGCAGTTGCGGAGGGATTTTTACAATATGGTATTTCAGGCCTTTATGAAAACTACAAGCTAAGTTGTAGCTCGTGCCATCAGGATCCACGTGTGGGTGAGCACTGGCCAGGTTGATCGAGATGAGTTTCTCCAAGTTAACCTATATCAAATAAAACTTGCAACTACAGAATCTTGTAATATCTTTTGTAATATTACAACACATAGAAGCATAAAGTATAAATAATACTGCTTAACCTGATCAACACGTAGCGGAACGAAAATTTACAACTACACTTGTTTTTCATATTTTCTTCTCAAACACGTTTTCTTTCTACGAGGGCTTTAGAACGTCTACAGTAAAACTAAAAAAAGAAAAAGGGGAAAAGGTTCATTTTCTTTGGTATTCTTCATATCCACATTTCCATTGTTTCCCAAAATATCCACTTTTTTCAGTGAATTGGATCTTGTACAAATATAGAGAAAACGTGTCCTTTTTTTTTTGTAACTGAGAGGAATAATAATAATAATACTCAAAACTGCAGGACCAACTTTAACACCTCCACATATCGATCTTTAGTGTAAGACGAACTTCACGACTTTTTACTGAAGTTGGCAGCAACATTTCATAAAGAACCGCTGCCTTTTTTTCGCTACTGTAAACTACTATATAAGTACCTTGCGATACGACAGTAATGTTTTACTTATAAGCTTCTGCTTCCAATTACGAATTTATTATAATTCCATGAAATACATATTAACAGAGGGATCCCCGGATTTGTAATTGATTTTTTTTACACGATTTTTTTCCGATAGGTTAACGTGATGTAATTAAATAAATAACATTTCCAGTGTAAGGCCAATCAAAGACCTTGAAAAAAAAGAAAAGGTATCTGTAACTGGTTCGTAAAACATTTTACTTATTTCTGCAAGCTCTATCCATTTTCCTCTCTGCTTTAATCCTTCATACGTTTTTCCCATTCTCACTTAATGGTTCACCGGTGGGACAGCGGTAAGTCTTCAGCCTTACAATGCTACAATCCGAGGGTTCGATTCCCCGTGGAGGACACAGCACCTAGCTCATAGTGGCTTTACTCTAAAACAAACTGACATAATGTTTCGTTCACTCCTAAAAACAATATAAAGCTTCCTTTAGTTTAGGTAGTGTTTTGGGCATTTTAAAACCTTCTATGGATAAAAAAGGCCTCAGTATAGAGACATAAACTTCCTCCAAAAAATAACAACACAAAAACATGTCAAGTAGTTTCCCGTTTGTAAAATATTTCTAATAGAAAAGCTTCTGAAATTTTATTTTTGAATAACTGCAACGAAACAAAAATACTGTTATCTTTAGTTCATACATATAACACTTGACGTTGCTGAATTTACAAACGTGCATTCTAAATTTACGAACCTTATCCATGGTTTTGAGAGTTTCTGGGTCCACTCTCCATAGATAACAGGTTTCCGTCACACAGTACAGCTCATCAGACATCGTGAAGACGTTTCCAATAACGTTATCCGTCATATCTCCGGGGATCAATTTGGACCAAAACCTGCTCAAAATTTTTCCGAAAATCACAACACACTATCAGCCTGCGTTACTTATAATTAACACGAATTTAGTTACAAATCAAGCTCCTTTTCGCAACGAAAATCGAAAAGGATTAATGCCGAGATTTGGAGGCTCCAGTAACGAAAATATCATGATATATTGTTGATATCCCTCTTTTTTAACAGCTTGGTTCGTTGCTGCCTCTTAAGCACTCTGTCTTTTCAATTCTGCATTACAAATTATTAGTTTTGAGAACAAAATTGATTTTATTATTCTTAACTTTGTTTAACGCAAACTGGTGTTTATTACGAGACATTTCCTATAAATGTAAATAAAACAACGACCTATATTCATGGGTGTCCACAGAAATATTTACAAGGGGTGAAACACGTAAGTAGGAGATCAGATCTTACAGTGTAAGTCAACAGACTAAAAGAATATGTGTTATGTGTGCTTAACGTAATACAAATTGAGTTTAACTACGATGTCAAGTTTACATCATTGTACGTGTAATTTTTTGTGAAATGTAAGGGGGCAAATGCCCCCTATTGCCCCTTTCTGCGGGTACCCATGCCTATATCTCCAGATTAGTGAACTGGTAGGAAATCGATGGTTCCTGACGAAGCTGTAATAGCGAAATATTGAACTAATAAAGTTACATTCTGGAGGATATGTCGATATTTTATTTACGTTAACAATATCGATCTGTTTTAACAAGAAAAAAAAAGTCACAAAAAGTTTTAACCTTTTTCTCATTTTATTTTGTACTTACACGGGTACCATTTATCCGAAATATTAATAGCTTGCATGGAAACCGTATGTTTAATCCGAAAACTATAAATAAATAATTATACTTACATATTGTATTTTAAATAACTATCATCAGAACCTTATGGAGATTCTTTGTTTGTTGGTTTCAAAATGTTTGCGCAAACGTACACAAAGGGTTATCTGCATTTAGCCATCCCTAATGTTTTGGATTCAAATAAACCGTAAGTGTAATTTTGAAGAATTAGATAGTTATACGAGTTTATAGTTATTAAATGTATACTTGATCTTAAGTACACCTAAAATGTTCAGAATTTAGTCCTCAACCCCCTACTACAATTTCATAGCTCTGTCTATGTGAGAAGACAACTGGAAAAACTTGGAACTCTATTTTAACAATTGAAAATTGAAGCTCAAACATTATTTATTAATGTAGTTAACATGTACTTGTAATCAAAGTGAAAAAGAAACAAAAAAATTGATGCAAACCCATTTTCAATAATTCAACTTTCCGACAGGTGGCAGGCAATGTCATGACAACTCGAATACAATTTAAACCAAGTTTCTTAGTTTTCCAGCGACTGATGATATATTTCTTAGCTTCAAATTTAAATTTCAGAATAGTAGTAACAAAATTATAAATTTCAATTTTTACCTGGAAAACATGCTTTTGCACGGATCGGGATATGACCTAGTTCCGAACTCTGTAAACACGGGTCTTTTAACGGTACACATCTTCTCATAAGCCTCGGTCTCGAGAAACCTAGACTTGAATGTAACCTGTAGAGAAACGTTATATTATAATCTCTTTAACAGTAAACCTCTTGAGCATTCTGTACCCTATGTAGGGATCGAACCCCTAATTTAAGCGTTATAAAGCCCTCAAGCTTGCCGCTAAATTAATAGGTAGCGGACTGAAGAAAGACGGACACATCTGATATTCAAATAAGTATGCCAAAAACAAAGAGCGCCTGTTGTATTATTTAAATTGTTCCTGTAAAGGATTTATCATACATACAAATATGATTGTCATTTTAGTTTCAATGACAGTTCTCACAGACATGACATCAAGTAGTCTAGATTTCTTTTTGTCATACATCCAATACTGTCTTCCATTGGAAAAGAAACTGTGTACCGTATTTTTCGGTGTATAAG